CACGCGCAGGCAGGACACGGCAGGCGCGGCAAGGGCGAAATGGCGCGCGCGTGCAGGGGCAGCGCGCGGGAGTCCTATGCGCGGTAGGCATAGGCGGGGAAGCAGTGCGCACGCGCGCGAAGAGCCGGGCGCGGGACTGGGCGTACGCGTAGGCGCGCAAGAGTCCCGGTCCGCGGAGAAGAGCGAGGCGCACGCACACGCGTACGACGCGCGAGGTTAAGGCGGCCGAGAGTTGGACGTGTGAGGGATTTTAAGGAGCTTCTAGATTTGCTTGGTGTGCAAGCCAAGCAATAGTTATTTGGTAGCTTTAGGATTTTATTGCTTTCTAGAGTTAGGATTTATTTTATTGCATAGAATAGGAGATCTAGATCTATTAGGCTTAGATTTATTTTGCAACTATAAATACCCCATGTACCACATCATATTTTGGACATGTTGAATGAAGTATTGAATTGGTGAGCCAATCTTGAGGGGGAACTGATGTTCTTAACGTGTGTTTAAACAAGGCCGTTAGTGCGTGTTTACATACAGTGTCGGAGAGAAGGCCATTAGAGCGTCTTGAAGTCACGGTGTCTAGGAGAAGGCCGCAGTGCGTCTGTTAGACACGTCTATCGTGGATAAACGAAGGCCCAGAGCGCGTTTATTCACAACCATCGTATAGATAGAAATTTGATCCGTCATCATTGGTGCTTTCATTGAGAGGTGCTGATCGATTTTTGTCTATCTTATCTTTTTATTTTTTTCGGTTTGCCTTTTGCTGAGGGGCCGAATTTCTCTTTATTTTTGTTGGGATTCGAATTTTATTGTTCGAATTTTCCCTTTATATTTTCGAATTTGAGTAAAAAAAAAAGTGTCATCTTGTTAGTCCTTTGTTGATTTTTATTCGGTTATTACCTTTTGTTGAGGGGCCGAATTTCTTTTGGTTTCGATTTTTTTGAGTCTTGTTGGGGGTTCGGATTTTTGATTTTTTCCCCTATTATTTTCGAATATTATTTAGAGTAAAAAAAAAAATTATTTTATGATGTCGAACCGTGAGAGGATTCAAGCCTTGGAGGACAACATGAAGATCATCGGCGATGGTCAACATGCTACCAACGAGAACTTGGGAAGGATCGAACTAATGGTCCAAGACTTGGCCGGGCAACTAACGCGAATGAACATGCGGCCAAGGAGACGACACGGGTCGCGGTCCACGGCAGTAGGCACCGGGACCGAGCGCGAGGATGATCGCCAATCGCGGGGCTCACACGCATCACACGCAGATCACCATCGCGACGGCCGACGACGACACGATGGACGCGCACATCACGACCGTAGGCGCGAAGAAGGTGACGACCGACAGTCGTACGCATCGTACCATCGCGGGCCTCACACGATGAGCGCCGGGCACGACGCGATGACCGAGAGCGCTACAACGAGGGCCGACAATGCCATGAACGACGGGACGAGGGACGTGCCCGGTATCACGGTCGCGACGATCCACGGGACGACAGGGCAGGCACACGGCCAAAAATTATTATGCCCACGTTCACGGGAACAGATCCGGATGCATGGTTGAGTCGGGCTGTGCAATTCTTTGAGATCAATGATGTGCCAAGGTACGAACGAGTTCAAATTGCTGCCTATCACCTCGATGGGGAAGCAGATGTTTGGTGGCAATGGGTGGTGCACAAAAACCATGGCGAGCACATGCGATGGGGAGATTTTGAAAAAGAGCTCATCACGAGGTTTGGCTCGAGTGACTACCACGATTACAACGAGGCTTTGTCAAGAATCAAACAAGTAGGTAGTCTAAGGGATTATCAAAAAGAGTTCGAACGCATTGCTAGTAGAGTACGGGATTGGCCCGAGGATGCACTAGTGGGAATGTTTGTTGGAGGACTTAAAGCTGAACTGGCAGCCGAAGTGAGGTTGGACAGGCCAGGCTCGATGCGAGCAGCCGTTGAGTCGGCTAGATTGCACGAAGAACATCTTGTGGCGGTACGCAAGGCAAAGTCGAGCGACGTGCGCAAGGAGACCAAGCGCACAAACGCGGCGACCGAGGAACTGGCTGGGCGAACAGAAAACAAGCCGATGGGCGAGACTGTTCGAACATCGAGCAACATACGGCGGCTTACCGACGAAGAGATGCAACGACGGCGAGAAAAAGGCCTTTGCTATTCGTGCAACGAAAATTTTACGCCAGGCCACAGGTGCAAAGGTAAGGAGGTCTTTTTGTTGGAATTTGAGGAAGAAGAAGAACCACGAGAGGAGTCCTTATTACATATGGTTAAAAGCAAGAAGCGTGGTCCGAAGATGATCACATTCACGGCTGAAGTGAGAGGAAAACTGGTGGAAGTATTGGTTGATAGCGGATCTACGCTAAACTTCATTGATGAGGAGTTGTCTAAAGAAATTGAGATTCCTTTCACCAAGGTAAAACCTTTTAGAGTCAAGGTTGCAAACGGGGAAACACTACGAGGAGATATTCTATTCAAGGGTGTAAAGTTGAAAGCTCAAGGTCTAAGGATGAGAGTGGATCTCTATGCATTGCCATTGAAGGCAACTGATATAGTGCTTGGATGCCAGTGGTTGGAGACACTTGGTCCAATCACAACCGATTATTGGAAAGGAACTATGGAGTTCGGGAGATCAAGCAAGAGGGTCAAGTTGAGGACTGAGGATCCAGGCGAGTCACCTGATAAAGATAACGGGGATGGTCGAGATGGGAAGCTGAATTTCCTAATCCTTGGGGACAAGGAAAGTCTTGAAGAGGAGGGGAATGATACAGAAATGGAGTTTAAGACCGGAGAGGCTAGTGGACTTGGAAGGCTGAAACGCAAAAAGTGCGCATCGACCCTTGATGCGCACAAATGGACTAGTAACAAGTACGCGGGAATTGGACGGGACGCGAGCGGATGCACGCACGTACGGTACGGGCGCGCGAGGCCTAGTCCTCACGGGACTAGGAATGGCAAGGGGACGGCGTGCACGCGCAGGCAGGACACGGCAGGCGCGGCAAGGGCGAAATGGCGCGCGCGTGCAGGGGCAGCGCGCGGGAGTCCTATGCGCGGTAGGCATAGGCGGGGAAGCAGCGCACACGCGCGCGAAGAGCCGTGCACGGGACTGGGCGTACGCGTAGGCGCGCGTGCGAGGATGGCGCGCGTGCGAGGATGGCGCGCAAGAGTCCCGGTCCGCGGAGGAGAGCGAGGCGCACGCACACGCGTACGACGCGCGAGGTTAAGGCGGCCGAGAGTTGGACGTGTGAGGGATTTTAAGGAGCTTCTA